CCTCAAAGTCCTCTTGTAGTTTCTGGAGCCTCTCAATCTCTGTTGCGAATGTTGGCCATTCCTCCGGATTAATAGACATGTCTACTAAATCCGCGCAGTCCGTCTCTATCACCACCGAGATGATCCGCAAGTCTCTCAGGCATAAGACTGCCCAGAGAAGTCCTTCCATCTCAGCATGTAAGGCTGAACGGGTCCTCCTGCACGCCCGTTGTCCGGTCCAGTCATAATCCATATGATCCTTGAGGATCCACCCTAGCCCACTAACACTACCATGATCGATCCATGATGCATCAATTTGGCAGGTCGGGGTTCTGGGGTTCCCATAGGGTCCTATCTCGATCTCCAAAGAGCGGGGTACCTCAATAGCGTCGTCGTTTCCGTCACCCATGTTTGCTTTTTTCCAACATTCTGCCTCGAGAGACGCATGTTGGAGGGTATCCATTGGAGAAACGACTTTCCCATTAAAGAGTTTGTCGTTTCTCGCCTTCCAGATGTACCAACAGATCCATGGGAAGGTGTCGAATTGTGGTCTCCGAGGAGCCACCTCTTTTCTCTTCCAAAAAAGGAAGTCAATATTTTGATATATTGATGTACTCGGGAAGACACCCGGAATGGACGGATAGTCCGATAAGGCCCAAACCTGCAGGGCAGGGGGACATTCAAAGATAAGATGGTTAATTGACTCCACTGGGGCAGCACATCTAGGACAACTCCTATCGGTGCCCAGGTGTCTGTAGGTGAGTCTCTCTGCTGTTGCCACACAACCTGAGATAACTTGCCACAAAAAATGTTTCATTTTGCTTGGAGCCTCTATCCTCCACACATGGCTTTGAAGGCCTGTGATGCTTGGTTCAAGAACCAAATCTTGTGTAGGCCTTATCTTATTTGATTGAAGTAAGTCATAGCCGGTTTTAACGGAGTATGCCCCTGTCTTCGTGTGATCCCAAACATATCCATCCGGAGCGGACGAACATGAGGGTTTCAACCCAAGTATAAGACGTATGTCATCCGGCTGGAAGTATTCGCGTAGCCGTTGGATATCCCACTCCTTGGTATCATTCCTAATAAGGGCTTGAACCGGAAGGCTGGGGAGTCTATAGACAATATGGTCGGCAGGCTTTGGTGGTCGAGCCACAGAGTCGGGGATCCAGTTTTCACACCAAACCCTCGTGTCTCGGCCCGAACCAATCCTCTTGCGAAGTCCTGAGAGAAGTAAGGGTTTTGCTGCCATAATACTACGCCATCCATATGAAGGTGAGTATGAGCGTCTGTCCTCTAGAGGAGAGGAGTTGTAATAGTATCTCCCTTTTAGAACACGTGCCAGTAAAGAGTTCGGGTAGTGTATCAGCCGCCATAACTGTTTCGCAAGAAGTGCTATGTTGAAATCATGGAGATCACGAAATCCTAGCCCCCCTAAATCCTTAGGGAAACAGATTTCGTCCCATGATATCCAATGCAAACCTCTGCTGTTCTGTTTCGAGCTCCACCAGAAATTCGAATTCGTACTTCGTAATTTATCCGTGATGCCTTGAGGAATCAAATAACATGACATTGGGTATGTCGGGATTGCTTGGGCCACTGCTTTAATCTGAACCTCTTTTCCCCCTTTGGACAGTAACCTCGAGGACCAATTATTCACTCGTCCATTTAACCGGTCTTGAACGTAGGAGAAGACTTTGGATTTTGAACCGCATATCAGTTCCGGTAAACCCAGCTTATTTTCTTTTAGATGATGAGTTTTACATGATTGCTTCTTAAGTTAGATTCTATATATTTACATTAAAAGTTGTAAACAATCAAGTTGGCAAATAAATTCTATAGTAATTCTCTCAACTGTAGTCTATTTTTAAATTTTTGTCACAAAAAAAATTCTCAAGGAAGAAAATGATCAAAAATATTTTATTAAATACAGTATCGTCTCTTTAAATTAATATTCTATAAATTAATATATACTAAAATTCTCTATAAAATAATATGATTTTATAGTTCTAAATTGAGTTTTTAGATTTAGATATTCTACAAAAGAAAATTAATTATTTTTTATTTTAATTTTAATTTTCTTTTTTGAAATTCAAAAATACTTTTTGAAACTATTTTTCAAATATTTTTTTTCAATTTTTTAATTATTTTTGAATATTTTAAACCATACTCCCAAAACTCTACCACTTAATCCTACCTCCCAAAAAAATCTAGGATTAATTAACTTTAAAAGGGGGGAATTCCTTAAAAGTACACGTACTGATTTACATTTGCTAATAAAATACACGAACTATTTTGGATTTCCGTTTAATACATTAACTAATTTTTGCTACCAATTAAATACACAAACTTTTGAAATTCGAAGATTTTCCACATCGTTTTTAACGACATTAACTATATTTAATGGGGTTTGTCGACACCGTCAGTGCTTAATTAAACACGTGTTTAAATTATGAAAATAAAGTTTCTTAAAACTACACGAACTAATTTTCATTTGTTAATAAAATACACAAACTATTTTAGAACTCCATTTAATACATAGACTAATTTATTTTTTCAATTAAATACACCAATTTTTGAAATTTACATTACACATCGATTTAGCCACGCCAATTATGTTTAGCATGATTTAGACGATGTCAACTATGTTTAACAAAAGTGAAGAAGATATTAGTGGTTAACTAGATATGTGATTAAACTGTGAAGAAAAAGTTTCTTAAAAATCATCCAGCTAGATTATATATTGTTAGTTTTCTTCTTTATTACGCTTTCATAGTGTAGATTTTTATAAACGGAATTTCAAATTTATTGATCATAGTAGAAATAATATATGTACAGCCTAATTTTTTTTTTGTCATCAAACAAACAAACTCATGTAGACTCTGCGAACCAAACTGGTAGCTCTGCATCCATGTGAACGACAAAGGACGATTGTTTTCTGGCACTGCGTGCTAGGCTATCTGTCTGTGAGTTCTGCGTTCTTGGTACATAGATGATCTCTGAGCTGTGAAAGCTATCTTTCAGCATCTTAATGTCCTCCAAATAAGTTGCAAACGCCGGCCATTCTTCTGGTTCCAACACCATCTTCACCAGCTGAGAACAATCTGTTGCAAAAGTGACTTGGTATTGACGCAAATTCCTCATACATTCTATTGCCAAAATCAGCGCCTCCACCTCCGAATGTAGGGGTGAAAAGCTTGCCCTGACATTTCTTGCCCCCATTAATCCTTGGAAGCCTTTTAATGTGCTATATCAACCTTGTCCAGAAAACTCTTCCTTAACTTTCCATGAGCCATCCGTAAAACACCACTGGCCTTGAATGGACGGAATGTCTCTAACCTCACCCTGGTGTGGAGCCCTCTGTGTCTGTGCCAACTGAGTCTCACTCCAGAGAGTCGATTCCGTTTCTGCGAGTTTCAACGTATTTCTGGGATCAATATCCAAAATACTAAACGTTTTGCTATTCCTGGTTTTCCAAAGGAACCACAGTATCCATGCGAAGTGATGATCATCCATTTTTGGACGCACTCGCCAAAATAAGTGATACATATTTGTAAACAGAGAGCTGGTAGGAAAAATATCTAGAGTAGATGGTATCTTTGATAATGCCCAAACCTGACATGCTGGGGGACATTCAAAGAACACATGATTAACCGACTCCTCTTTTGCTCCACACCTAACACAGCAAATGTCTCCTTGCATCCCTCTTACTTAAAGGCTTTTCTTGACCGCTATACATCCCGATACCAGCTGCCATAAAAAGTGTTTTATCTTTGGAGGGCATCGTACCTTCCAACAATATGCCTTCAACGGATCAACCGTAGGTCCTAGCATTACTGGTGATCTTTTGTTATCTGGATAAATATGTTCCACTTGGTATCCCGACCTAACTGTATATTTTCCGTTATGTGTAAAATGCCATCCATCCCGATCCTCCATCTGAGTCCTAAAAAGTGTTTTATCCTCAAATGTACAGCCTAATTTATAATACGAAACTTATTGATCATAGTGTAAGTTAACATTGATTAAATCATTATCACTACAATTAAAGCAAAGAATAAGAATAAGAAATACATAATAATAAACTAATTCCAAACTCAGAAACTCGTTTAAAATTACCTAATCTTCTTCGTTGTTTTTCACGACATAAAAATTGACTCCAATTTGAAACGATATAAAGGGAAATCAAAGCGAAAAAATAAGAAAATGAACATAATTTAGAGAATAAAATAGATTGCAACAGATTACGGTGTTAAATTCGAATTGAAACTAACTTAAGAAGTTTTGGAGGGTGAGCGTGTTTTTCACATTTTTACCACATGTTTACTTAAAACTAACATCATCAACATAGTCTTAAATCGATGTGTAAACTGCAAATTTCAGAAGTTGGTGTATTTAACTAAAAATAAATTAGTCTGTGTATTAAACGTGGATCTAAAATAGTTCATGTATTTTATTAACAAATGAAAATTAGTTCGTATATTTTTAAGGAAATTTATTTTCATAATTTAAACATGTGACATGTGTTTAATTAAACACTAACGGCGTCTACAAAACCGTTAAATATAGTTAACGCCATTAAAAACGATAGATAACAGAAATTAGTTCGTGTATTAAACGGGAATCCAAAATAGTTCGTGTATTTTATTAGCAAATGTAAACCAGTTCGTGTATTTTTAAGGAATTTTCCCCCTTAAAGGTATAAGAGTATATTTGTCTTCTAAGAAAATTAAAATAAAAGAAACTTTCTTTTGGTCATTTTCTACTTTGAACGATAAATTCTTTTTGTGAAATTAAATTAGAAGTGCCTATCCTAAAAAATTTCTATAAATTCTACTTTGATTTTTTATAAATATTCAAATCGGCTATTGCTGAAGTTGTCTTCATAACATATACTCTCGGTCGGTCTATTGTTTTACAACTCTACTTATTTACAGGTTTTGTCTAATTAAGCTTATCACATTAAATTGGGGTTTGCCATGTAAATATCAGTTCCAACATTAAGTTTCATAATATTGTTTCTTTCTATCTACCCGTAAAATGTAAATTGTATTTGTAAATTGTACACAATGGTTCTCAACCAATAAATGGATTCTATATTCTATTAATAACAATGATGTGCATTAGAATCGTTATGGAAAGAAAAACAGTATAATCTCAGTTATAGCTCAGTAAGAAACTGGTACAATTGTAAGCTCTCTCCCCTCTTCAGTTTCACTCTCCAATACCATTTTTTACTTCTTTAAATAAAACCCATCTGAAAACAAAACCAAAAGAAGTTCCAAGTGAGCAAGCAAGCAAACAAAAACATATCCATTTGGTTGGAGTATGATGTCTCTCACCTGTACTATGGTTGGAGAGTGAAGTAGTAGTAGTAGCTTATGAAGACATCGGATAAGAGATTCAGAGATATATCTATTCAACTTGGAAATTTCTGCAGTGCCTTGGCCAGCACGATCGCATTCCCTGCTTTTAACAAAGAAGAACGTTTTCTTTCATATATTGATGCACGCAAGAGAGATCATAAGTGTTGTTAACATTGGAGAAGAAGAAGACTAAGCCTTTACCATTGAGGTGCTCTCTTTAAGGCTCTCAAAAGATTCTGCAAGTTCAATTTGTTTTGACGCCGTCAAAAGCAGCGCCTGTCACAAACATTTTAAAACCTTATTAGCTTCTTGAAACAAAAGTGTTTCTTTCGGGGGCAGAGAAATTGGGGTCTGTCTACCTTCTTTGTCTTCTGTAGATCTTGCTCAATGCATTTGATGCGGTCTAATGAATCACGAAGTATGTCTTCTTTCTCCTGAGGAATGTTTGTTGGTTTATCGGACAAAACTGTGACCATGCTCTCCAGATTTTGCAACCTTAGCCAACATGGATGGAGAGACTCTTCTCGCTGCAACTGAGTTGGAGGAGATTCCGAAACAGTTAACTGTGCCGGTCGCAATTGGTTCTCTGGCTGCTTATTTACAAGTCTTCCCAAGATCCGGAACATGATACATAAAGACGCAAGAAGTTGGAAGATAAAACGAGCCAACAAGCTTGCAACTTTCTGAAGAGAGTTCTTCAGACCCCTTTCTTCTGTCAGATTACTAGATAACTGATCTGCAGATTAGTAGAAATTATAAGGATCTCATCTAAAAAAATGGTTCATGAAATGAGAACACAAAGTTGCTTTCACCCCTACTTGTTGAATCATACTGTACAATTCTCCCAATACCAACAGCTTCAACTTGATGTCTTAGCTGAGCACTTGAGTCCTGAATACATAATAATCATCCATTTGACAATGTTAGACTATGATAAGCAAAACAGAGGAAGACTAGAGTAAACTAACATGTTCTCTCTCCCTAACTTGTCCTCCACCAGGTGACGATATTTCTGTATTCACATGCTGCAGCAAGAAATGGGAAGAACACATTACAGAAGGTAACAAGAGCTAATCGCTGTTAAAAGTTGATTAGAACTAAGACTCACCGGTAATGCAAATAGTTTAGCTACTTCCCCATTCTCAGGGAGCTCTATTTCTTTTATTTTGTACGTTGCATCTCTCAAGCGCACAAGCTACAAAGTATGATGCAAAACAGAGAGTTTATAATATGATAAGACTTTTCAAGTACACAAAAACAGTAGAGCTGATAGAGAATCATACTTTCATTATCTCAGGATCGTTCCAAGGACCCTTGTTGAATCTCATACATCCACCTTCGTTTGCACAGGAACAGTTTCCACCAAGAAAATCAGGAAGCTCACTGTGTTAAACAGAATCTATCTGTATCAGCCTCCAAACAGCTATGCAAAATTGGATTATTCAGTAGAATTTCTCACCTTGGATCTATAATCTCAAGAAGGTGACTTCGATCTTTGTTTTTCAAAAGCTGTGCCAACATAAATCATTTGGTCAAGTTGGACCTCAAAAGTATTGTACTGTATAAGAATGTAATCATACATGTATCTTAGAAGAAGTTTTAGGATCGAGAAAGCCTTTCACTGTGTTCCATAATATACAGAATGCGGTTCCAACATTAACGATGTACATCTGATTCAATGTCTGCCTTCAATAAACGAAAGCAATGTTAGTCTTCTTCAACATCCAATAAGTGCATAAGGTTCCCACTTACACCCACCTCAGGATAATTGTCGCCATCGATTTTCTGCATACGCATCACAAGGTCCTGCGCTAGTTTTTTCAACTTCATCCAGCTCTGCATCGATTTTTTTTTAAACTTCAATGCCATTAAGAGGTTGAGGAAAAAAGGAATAATGAAAAAAGCAAGGTAACCAACCACTCCTTGCACATCTATTATGGTTGTAGAAGAATTGATACGTCTCTTTGCAGCGATGGAACAAGCTGGAAACTTCTCAGAGAAAGTCTTTTCGAAACCTTGCACATGATATCTCAAGAAACGCTCCAATGAAGTAACCTTCATTAGCTTTCCCGGGTCAACTTTACCGAGACATTCGATGTAGACAGGCCTGCCTTCTCTATCTACACCATGGTAGCCATGTGGGTAGTACTGTTGTACTTCTTCGTACTCCTCATACACAAAATCCTGAAACGGATGACTCAATCATTGCATTGACAGTTAGTAACACAGAAAAAAACCCATGTGGAAAGATTCTTCACCTGCATTATTGTATCAACTCCATTCTCTTTCCTCCACTTTAGCATCTCTTCCCACATATGAATAGTTTTGTCATGATCAAACCTCCTCGCTTTCAAGAATCTGCTCCAACATCAAACTTGATCAATGCCAAATCTAGACACTTCACTTCTCTGTAAAATACTGTTTCATTACCTCAGCATAGTATGATAATCATCATGTCGAGGTGGAAGCAAGTCAAGAGAAACCAAAGCTTCTCTAAACACATTCACTGCTTTCTCCTCTTCTGCATCTCTCACATCCTCAATCACAATAGCTGCGTACTGATCAGCCACACGCTTCCCTCGTTTCCTCAAACTATGCGTGAGTTTGGTCGAAGCTTTGATAGCTTTCTTCTTCAAGGATCTAGAACGAGATCTGGGAAGAATCTTCTCATCCTCTGAGTTGTCAATAATGTCTTTACTCTTCCCTTTATCAGTTTCTGGAACCGAAAGGATTTCACCTAAAGCTGTGATCAAAAACACAAAACTTTATAAAAAAAAAAATCAGATTCTTGATAAATCATAGCTGAAAACAATCACCTGGCATTTGCAGAGAGAATCAAACCCAGATGCTTCAAATCAGATTCCTGAATCAACAAAACCCTTCAACCAAATCGGATCAAGATCGTGTCAATTAATAATAGATCCAAAAAAATCAAAACCCAGAAATGAAATCGCTAACATTATATAAATTTACGATCTTTACCTAATATGCGATCTCGCAAAATCGCAGAGTAAAGAAGAGAAAAACGATCTCTCTCTCTCTCTCTCTATAGAAACGTTGCTTTCAGATTACCAAGTCAAAATCTCTTTTTTATATACACGACGAAATACATATGCATATACGTAGCTCGGAGAAAAAAGACGAAGCGTCGTTTTTAAACAAACATTAATGCAGACAAGAAGAAGAGGAAGAAGACGACGACGATGAAGAGAGAGAAAGAGAGCTACATGTCGGTTTTGTTCCCCGTTTTTTATAGCCTTAACCGGTTTTGCTTTGTTTAGTTGGTTTAAAAAAACCGAAAATGAATACCTAAACCGGGTCAAACCTTTGTTTTTTTTAGTCAATGCTTTGGTAATTGCAGTGATTACGTTACGGTTAGTCAAAGAAAAAGTGTTGAGTTAACTTGTATTAACGTCTGTTTGGTTGGTGTACCGGTGGTTACGGTCCGCGTAGGCGCTAAGCTAACCATGAATTTTTTCGATTTTACTGTGTGTTATGTCATTTCTTATTTGATTTATAAATTAAAATGGGTGTGTGGGCCCACCGACAGAATAGTTTTACTCACGTTGTGTCCAGTAGGAGGTAGCCACGTGGAAACAGCCGACGCAGATTCCTGAATTCGGTGAGGGAGAAGAGCCACGTATCTAACTTTAGGTCCAAAAGTAGAGGGACAGGTAGACCACGTGAGTTCATCCATTAATTCATGGACTTGCATATGTAGCAAGTTTTTCTATTCAAACTTGTGCATATGAAAGAATAATTTTTTTCGCAAAAAGTATATTCGATTTGATATATTTTAAAACACTGAATTTTTTTTTCTGTGTAAAATTCTACACATCAATTTAAGTAGAGTTGAGACATACATAAAATCCCCTGATTAGTTTGCACCGTTTTTAGTTTTAGTTTTTGGATTCTTAAACTTTTATGTATATTTTATATTTGAGACCATTTATATTTTGAACTTGAATGGTAATCAGAATCACAAAGATGATGACTCAAGCAGTCTAGATACTGATCCATCCACACAATTAATATTGATCTTTGCTTCCAGGCAAGTTTGTAAACAAAATAAGTTTGGCATTTTGTATATCTACTCTCGCCGACAAAAGAAAAAAAAAGAATCTACTCTCATTTTGCATTTTGATCCTATATTAGTTCCTTTATGTCTATGAAAAAGATTTTCTCATTAATTGTCAACAATCAGTTTACATCTCCTTTGGTAAACTCATTTATCTATACTCTGACTAACTTTCTACTATTTAAACTAGGTGATAATCCGTGATATGTACGTAGTGAGAGAATTAAAAATAGTATTATCAAATCATGTATAGATATTAGAAATTCAAAAATCAAAAATATGTTATATAATGATATATTTTACTATAACGTGCATGTTTGTATAATGTAAAATTATTTGTTTTTTTACAAAAAAGTTTGTGTAATTTGATGTGTGCATTAAATTTTATAACATGAAAAATAAATATAAGATTAAGCAAAGACATATTGAAATTTATTATGAATTTAAATAAAAAAACAAATCATAGGTAATATAATTATTTAACTCATCGTAGAATTATAATGATAATAATTAAAGTAACATAGATAATAGAAAAATAAATTAAAACACCATATCATCGCAAGTAAAATTATCTTCAAAACTCCTGGTTAATCGACACATGGATTTTATCTCCCTGCAAAAAAAAACGTGGACATCAAATACATATAATAAAATACACAGAAAATATGTATTGACAATATTTTGATAATAAAATCATCTGTATGGTCTCTCCAACAGCAGTAGAATATTGCTTCCAAAGTCGTATCGTTTTCACTCTTATGTTTCATATTGACTTCTTAGGCTTTAGATCAGCGATGAAATTGATGCCACTCATTTTTTATAATAATGCTTTTGAAATTTTTAGGTTGTGATGGTGTTCTCAGATTAGTTTAAGGAGGTATATATATAGTTCATAGAGGTTGGAATAAGAGTTAATTGCGTCTCATAATTATGGCATAAAATCAAGCCAAACAAAATCACTAATTGAAATATCGCCTAGCTAATAATTGGAAAGAAACATTACTTGAGATTATGACATGTAATATTGTTATATAAATTTTATAACATTTATGTTCCGAATATTTTTTACGTAAATTCAAATATTAATTATAACCTAGATGTAGTGATACATTGTATTATAATTATGGCTCAAATCAAACCAAACAAAATCCCTAATTTAAATCAAGGAAAACATAATTGGAAAGAAACATATTTTATGATATTATATTTGAGATTATGTCAACAATATTGTTATATAAATTTGATCACATTTATGTTTAGAATATTGTTTATATAAATTCGAATGTTCTTAATTATGGCCTAAAATCAAGCCAAACCAAATTCCTAATTTCAATCAAGGAAACATAATTAGAAAGAAACATATTTTCTGATATTACACTTGAGATTAGTGAAATATTGTTATATCAGTTTGATAACATTTATATTTATAATATGCATAAAATACTCCTTCGTTCATTCTAAATTCTAGAGACTTGAGCCTTTATTTAAAAAATCATTCAGTGAGTATTATCCAGATCACTCTTTGTTTTTGAACAATGCTCAAATCCATGTAATGCATATATATTATTTTTTGGAAGGTTGAGTAGTATAAACAAATGCTTTTATTGATTTTTAAACTTATCTTTCTTATCATTTAAGTTCTCTGTCTTTCATATATAAATTTGAATATCAATCTAAGTGATAACCCGATTGAAACAAATATGTTTAGAATCCCTAATTGATTGTGGTTCCTACAATATTAATTGGCAAAAACTAATAAAAAGAGGAAGCAAATGTAATTGTAAACTTTTTAAGAATATAATCCTTTTGAGTGCATAAATTAGTGACATATATTGATGTTTATTACCATTTATAGCAATCTTGACTATTAACATAAACACATGATTATGAATTTTATTGAACATCTATGAAAAAGATCGATTATAACCACGAATTAGATGTTAAAGTTCTGTATAAATAAATAACATATATATAACATGAACATAAAAATAAAATAACATATAGTTTGTTATATACATCTGAAAATTATAAACACACACACACACACACACATATACATATATATATATATATAACATGAACATAAAAATAACATATAATTTGTTACACATTTATTTTTATTTATTTAAATGTCATTTAACATTTTCACACGAAAAACAAATTACTTATATACTATGTAGTATTTTGACATAAACTTATATATTTATATGTATATGTTATATAACATAAACATTAAAATAACATATAGTTTGCTATACACTTATTTATATGCCAATAACATTTGAACTAAAAACAAATTACATATATACTATGTAGTGTATAATGTAATTTCGAATTGAAACATGAATATAAAATAAAACATATAGTATAATAACTTTGTAGGTTTATATGCCTAAGGCATGACATGTAATTAGTCCTTGCAATAAAGAGCTATTCAATAAAGGATATGATGTGAGGTGCATTGTGATGTTGACACCTAGGAAATGGCAAAGTTGTTAATCATACATGAATGTGAGGTTTTTTTTTAAAAAATGCTCCTCAAATAATAAGATAGAGATTGGTCTTTAATGCTATATGATATTTCTCATAGGAAAAGTGATCGTTATAAGATAAACTAGATTTTGACCCGCGCTTGGAAAGTGCGAAATAAGTTTTTGGCTAATTTTTCTAATTTAGGAATTACTATACACTTTTTTAGTATTTGAGTTTTGACATCTATAATTAAAGTAATTTATATTGTTGTCTTATAGTAATTCGGGTTGGGTGTTTAGGTACCGTACTTTTTTCGGATCAGTTTATTTTGAGTAATGTTTGATTGGGATTGCATTTATATTTTTTGAGTTATTCAGGTTTTGGTGTTTAGGACCCGTGTAAGAACCATACATTTTCCGGATCAGTTCAGTTTGAGTAATGTCGGATTCGGTTTGCATTTATATTTTATTTGTAAAACCTAAAATGAAACCGAATTATAAATAGTTTGAGTTTGAGTCATGTTTAAAGCCATAAATCTCAAAAACAAAAATTGAAAAATCGAATTAACCCGGAAATCCAAAAATGGTAGACTAGGTAATTAAGGGTTCTGCATATTATAATATATAAATTATATTATATATTATGATAATTAATATTTTTTATTATATTTAAAATATTTGAATATTTTAGATTATCGGTTTGATTCTGATTTTAGTTTTGGTTTTTAGGTTTGAGAAATAGTAACTGTTGGGTTTTTCAAAATTTTGGTATGGATATGGTTTTAGTTTTTTCGTTTAGGTTCGGATTTGACTTTTCTATTTGGATAATATTTCCAATATTAACTTACTCATTAGTTTTCTAATCTGTGTTTTAATACCTATCTTACTAAAATATTTGTTCTTATTTTTATTCTCAAAATACTTTATAATATCACTTTTGTGCTATTGTGTTTTTAAATGATTTTCTCCTTCATTAAGTTTTTTTTTTGTTTGTAAATTGATTTGAAAAAAATATTTTCCCCGAATATCAGATTTCACCTGCCTAAATTATAGTTTCATAATTTGCTATATAAAATTAAATAATAGTTGTCAGAGAAAAATGACACTATTGTAAATGGTTAGCAAATCAAGTAATGACACCCGTTGTGTATTGGTCAAAGTTCATTTTAACTTTATAATTGAATACATTAAAGCATTCTTTATTCCATCTCTTAATGAAATATTTTTCCTATCTAATGAAAAAGACTATAGAAACTGCAGTTGTAAAATATTAGTTGTAACTCAATCATTTATACAACAAATAATATAAGTATTATTGTTTTATTTTTTATCAGATTAAATATATAATAGTTTTTGATATCTTAATTAATAATTAAATTTATAAATAAAATTAATGAATATCTAATAAATATTGACTTTTATAATATTCAGAAAACCTCAAATATATTTAGAGCGTATGAAAAAATAGAATATTAATTAGAAGGTAAAATGTTACCACTTACTGATGATATTATAATTATGCAAACCTAAAACTTTGGACGTCCAAAAACAATATATATATTAGAAAGATAAATGTTTCTCTGATTATCCTAAACAAACTCAAAATGATATAGGAAAAAGTTCGATAGATTTATGTAACAAATTTTAGAT